CGTCGGATAAGTGAGTTCGCACTGCAACTAAGCGAAATGCTCTCACAAGCGCTTTCGTGTCGCTGTTTCCAAAAAATTATGGAATTCTGATTTTTCTGATGTCTCTAATTAGAGTATTTGTGATTCAATCAGTAAAAGTCGTTTTCCGAGTTTCCTCGATAGCTCAATCAATGTCCGGGGCTGGACAAACGATCTCATAAAACATAGCTCGACTTGTGTTTGCTCGGCATACTTGAGGAATTGTGAACCGGATTCGATGACGAATCTAGATCCAATAAACCCAAACCGATAAATAATTGAATTCGGGTAATTTCGAAAAAAATAGCAAACCCAAATTACCCGGTTATCCGAACCGAAGAGATCCAAACTATACGAAATTTGATTCACAATAGGAGGTTTGCTTAGTTTGTATATGTGGTGTTATTCTTTAGACTTGTTTATTTTGGTTTCTCCGGTGAATTTATTACTGTATATCAAATGATTTTGGTTGTGTGGCATTATCCCCCTAGATACTAGTATTAATTAGATATTTATTTCAGCAATTATTAATATACATCTGTCATCGGTTTGGTTGATTCAAAAGTCTCCAAAGCCCTTGGGATCATCATCATGCTTCACAGTTCTCAGTTTTGGACGAATTCTCTCAAATCAATTTTCTCTCCGATTCACTCAGGTCAGGAACAAATCTTTTCAGTAATTGAATTTTTACTGGGCAATTCATTCCTTGATTCTGGGCAATTGCTTTGAATCGGAGTTGTACAAGGAAAGCTTGATCCTTTTCTTGGTAATCTCAACCCACCCTCGCGCTAAACGTGAGACTTTCTGTTTCCCTTTGCGTTTTCTCGCTTTTTATGAAACGGTTAAGAGATAAGAAAACCCCATTTTCCATTTTCTCAAAATAATATCGCTTTTTTGGTATAAAGTGCAGCTAACTTTCCTTACCTGAGGATTTTGACTGGTCGGTTCGAGCTCGTACAGCCTTTTGGCAGGAGCCACTAGCATCTTCTGTACTTATCAAACATCTTAGAATAGTGTCGTTTTCCTGCATACATGTTCCTTTGATCCAGCAGCTGATCATTGTAGTTAAGATTGGACAGTGAGAGCTGTTCTAATGAATGTGACGGCGAGTAATGTATCTAATCATCCACTGCAAGAATCAGACTCTGATGAAGATAATGGTGTAAATAACGAGAAAGCTAGTTTATTGGAAACATCTGCTTCTGCTCGTTCTTCTGACTGGCGTCGGGGTTAGTAGTACCTCTATTCAACTTTTCTCTTATTTGGATGCCCTCTAACTAGCTTTGTTACATTCTCCATCGTATATGTTCTTGAAGGACTAGACCACTGTGGAACTGCACCTGTTGGTCTCTATGGAGATCTGTTAATCGACGACCATGAAATTAAGTACTCTCGATCCTTGACAGAGAAAGAGTCTCCTCCGTATCATAATCTAAAACTAGATAGATTATCGGAGCGTGAAAAGGTACTAATCTATACCTTTATGTCCCCAGTTCTATGGCAATGGAGCATATAAGAACATTTTATCCACATGCTATTTGTTACCGGCTATTACAGTCTTTACCTCGTTGTTTTAATTTTGGATATTTACAAGGGAAGATTCTCTTTTTCTGCTGTAAAAGTCACTAGGACATGTTTCTCTGCTGATTACTAATCATGGTTCTTTTTGGATAACATCTTGTGCTTCCAGCAAAAACTCCTTGTTGAGCTAGTCAGGATACAAAATGACGGTACAGTGGAAGTTGATATAGATAATGGTACCCCAGTTTCGGAGTTATTGGAGTTTCAGCAGACCAGAGGGCAGTCTACTACAATCACATATGAAAAGTCCTTTGCGGATTCCTTCAGATCCATTCCAAGGTTAAAAATTGCTATACTTGTGGTTGGAACTCGAGGTGATGTGCAGCCTTTTTTGGCCATGGCAAAGCGGCTCCAGGTAATTTTAATATTGTTTTCTCATTCTCGTATCATATTGTGAACTTAAGAGTTAAGACTTGTAGAGGGAAGCATTGTGACATTAAATATGTATGTTTTTCACGGATGCATATAGTACACTCCAAATAAGCATGCTCATATCCAAGCGCTGGCATGGGTCTATACTCTATACCATGTGTTCTCGCCTTTTTAATTTAGTTTGATTTCTTCATTCCATCTTCATATATGTTTCTGACGCATCTTCCCTAGAGCTAGGGATCCTGAGATTTCTTGGCATTTAGTGAGAGATTATGAACTGATTGTTCATTGAGAAAGGTGAAAGTTATATATTGATTTCCTCTGCTGCAGGAGTTTGGTCATCATGTTAGATTGGCAACTCATGCAAATTTCTGCTCATTTGTACGGTCTGCTGGAGTAGAGTTCTATCCCTTGGGTGGTGATCCCCGAGAACTAGCTGCATGTAAGAAGTCCTCCATGAAAATGTTCATTTATATTTCAGTTTCTCGCCCTTTTGTTTTCCTTTGAAAGCCTAATGGAAACACATATAAGCTGTCAGAAATTTGATAGTTAGCTTCATGTGAATGTGTCTATGGGTAGAAAGAAGGGAAGCCTTTCGAGAAATATCATAGTTTCAGGTATTTTTGAATGTAGATATGGCTAGAAATAAAGGTCTCATTCCTTCTGGGCCTGGAGAAATATCAAAACAAAGAAAACAGTTGAAGGCTATCATAGAGTCACTTCTTCCAGCATGCACAGAGCCTGATATGGAAACTCATGCCTTTTTCAGAGCTCAAGCAATAATTGCAAATCCTCCTGCATATGGTAAGTCCTTCACCAGACTTCAATTGTTTTTTTTTTTTTGATTCATCAGCACCTCATTGTTTCTAAAGTGTTGTTGAGCATATATACTAGGCTGTTTTCATTTCTCCTATAAAGCTGATGATATGGTTTTGGTTATAATTGCAGGACATGTGCATGTTGCTGAAGCTCTTGGAGTACCAATTCACATTTTTTTCACAATGCCTTGGACGTGAGTTGACTTCTTTGCTTTTTAATCTCAACTTCGGAGCACCTGCCTTAACGTGTATTTTGTTGTCATGTTTTCTTACATCCTCTTCCTGTAGGCAGGCCAACCCATGAATTTCCCCACCCTTTAGCGCGTGTTCCTCAAAGTGCTGCGTATTGGGTAATGTTAACACTATTTTTTCAATTCAGCCTTTACATGTTCTTTCTTATGATTTAGAAGAATTACGAGGCTGATTCGTTCACAACATTTTATTGTCTCAGCTATCATATATAGTTGTTGATCTGATGGTCTGGTGGAGCATAAGGACATATATAAATGATTTTAGGAAAAGGAAGTTGAACCTTGCACCTATCGCATATTTCAGCACATACCATGGCTCAATTTCGCACTTGCCTACTGGTTACATGTGGAGTCCCCATGTTGTGCCAAAACCAAGTGGTATGAGCACAGCTCTATCTCCAATACATATATCCCATTGAGGTTTATCAGTTGTTTCCTTGCTTCCAGTTTGGATTGTAACTTGATTTTGTTCTCAAGGCTCAAGTTCTTGTTCTCCTTATGGCAAGGCCATAATGCATGGTCAATTTTTTTATGCATAACATTCTTTTAGCCTGAGCTCTTTAACTTTTCTTTGATATTTTGCTTTTGTTCGACTAATTTGCAGACTGGGGTCCTTTAGTTGATGTTGTTGGGTATTGTTTCCTGAACCTTGGATCAAAGTATCAACCTTGCGAAGAGTTTATCCAATGGATAGAAAGAGGAACACCACCCATATATATTGGTTTTGGAAGCATGGTAAGCTACAGACCTTTAATAGTTAGAAAATGTGTTACTTTGGTAATATTTAGTATAGTGCATAGTATTGATATTGTATCTTGACATAATTGGTTAACCATCAAATGGAAATCTTAGATTTATATCAATTAAAGAGCATCGTAACAGCCGTCTTGTTTGTTTAAGTGATGATGTGCTAGTTTCAGCTCACAATATTGTTACTTCATTCTTTCCTCTCCTTTACACAATCAGCCTCTTGATGATCCGAAACAAACAATGAACATTATACTGGAAACACTAAGAGATACAGAACAAAGAGGGATAGTGGATCGAGGTTGGGCTGGCCTCGGAAATCGTAAGCATCTTCTGTACCTTCTGTTTTGTCTGTTTTGATTCAGAATTCATTTTTATCTGGTAACATCTTGCAGTGGCTGAAGTTCCTGAAAACGTATTCCTCCTGGAGGACTGTCCTCACGATTGGTTGTTTCCTCAATGTTCAGCAGTGGTACACCCTCTTTAGATTCCCAATGTATTACTGCTTTCATGTCTTGAAAGACTTTATCTTCTAATTGAGGCTGTTTCTTGTGTTGTGGATTTGAAGATTCATCACGGTGGTGCTGGAACAACAGCAACTGGACTAAGAGCCGGGGTAAAACATTTTAATTTTACATCTTCATACTTTCATGCTCATCACCAAAGTATCCGTGGTGGAATCTTATTAGTTTTCCTTACCACATGGAACCTAATGGTTCCTCCTATATTCTTTTGGATTCCATTTATGTCTGCAGTGTCCAACAACGATTGTGCCATTCTTTGGGGATCAGTTCTTCTGGGGTGACAGGATCTATGAGAAAGGACTTGGGCCTGCACCAATACCGATAGCTCAACTCAATGTTGAGAACCTCAGTAATGCCATAGGATTCATGCTTCAACCAGAGGTAAATAATTTTAGTTTCTGTTTTTTCAAATCTTTCCATGCCCAGGTAGGATGTTAGAGTACAGTATCACAAATAGAAATTGCACAGAAACGGCTCTCTTTATGGCAAAATGAAATGAGCCAAACAAAGCTCTCTCTAGTTTAATCTATTTCACAAGTGAGATCTCATCCTTATTTGTACTTTTAAGACGTAAAAGCAAAGCAAAGGACACCGATTGTGCGCTTTCAGGTGAAATCACGAGTGATGGAACTAGCGAAAGTACTGGAGAACGAGGATGGTGTAGCTGCAGCAGTTGATGCATTCCACAGGCATTTGCCACCAGAGCTGCCATTGCCTGGGTCACTGCCTGAGAAAAAGGATGATGACAATCGACCAGACCTGTTACAGTGGTTCTTCATCCAGATTGGCAAAAAGTGTTGCCTTCCATGTGGTGGCGTGTGATGTCAAACTTAGATGTTTTAACTTGCATTCAGCAGCTCAATTCATTTAATTCAATGGTCAGGTATATGATAGCTTTTTACACAGTTGCATAAAATGGATATATAAGAATATTATTAGGATTGGTTTGGGCATCTTTGAAAGTTTATTGTTTAATGAGAATGAGAGTATAAACGTATGAGTTTGGGACACTCGAGGTACGGCTGATATTGTTTTTAGATTCATTTGGTCTTAATCTGTCTATTTCTGAAACGTTCGTGACAGAAAATAAATTCAATAGCCAGATTTTCGAGTAATGGAAACATTTTAGCTTAATGTATCTGCGGTAGAATAACGAGGGTTCTCGATTTTGATCGATCAAATCTTCCAGTTCCATCTGGATTTCTTTTGCCTTTCTGAATTCTCATCTTTCGTTTTACCGTTTTACTCTTCTGGAAGCAATCGAATCATCAAGAAGGTTTTCTCAGAAGGAGATTTGAAAAAAGAATTGCAGGAATTGAAGAGCGAAATGATAAAACTACATGAAGATCCTTCATTTAAATTGTCAAGAGATAGAGAACCCCTTAACGATTAAGCATCTCAAAGAAATCAGAAAACCTTCAAAAACATGATATCATGTTTTTCAGAGAAACAAAAAATGGGTATGTTGTAAATAATATCTGCAAAGATCTAAACTATGCTCACTCTTTTATACTTCTTGCTACAGGACTCAATGGGGGCCTAGCTATCTTTTGGGATGTAAATGTTAAAGCTTATGTTAGTAGATGCCCTTACATTGTATTCCTTTGATGTGCATATTACTCATGAAGATAATAATATTTTCTTGCCTTATATCTATGGACATTTTATAAGGAAACACATACTCAATGGAATAGGATGATTCTCAAGCAGAAGTTGGTTTG